CAGATGACGGTAAGGTCAGCCTTACGTGCCGGCTGCCCTTTACCCCCAGGTTGATACCTGGTACTCATTTCTGTTAGAGGATGAGTCGACCCCAGGGCCATAATGTGTCTGGATTAGGTAAACTAAAACAAAAAATACCTCATCGGGACTTGAACCCGTGACCTTCCGGCTTGTAGCATAGTGCATCAACCAATTACGTTACCGCGTGCCTCACGTTTGGAGAAATTACTGTATTTTGTTTCCTAGCTTCATATACCAGAATGGCTGGTGAGTGTGAGAAGTCCCTGTGAATGCATCACTTAAATGGAAATGTGTACTCAATTTCAGAACACATCCGATTTCTAGATACATGCTTTGTTAAGAGTCTTGATGTTCATTTATTGCAGATATAAATCTACGGTTGACAAAGCTAATAAAAAAAAGTTCATGTCGTAGTAATTTTCCTTCTGTTTTATTTATTAGGCATTAAATTATTCCAAATAACATAGTATAGACATTTTATGCGAGATTCCAATCTCTTATACCATGATTATATTTTGAAAAACATGAATTTAAATTTCTGCCTCACATAACGTTCGAAGCAGAGTGTGTAAATATTTATTGTTGCAACTGCCCATGGATCCTCGGTAGAGATGGTTTGTTAGAGGAGAAAATCATGTCACGATTCCGTCAAAGAAGTTAAGTATTGAGTGGAAAGTTCTGTGGGTTACCTGCACGCTTAACGTTTATTAATTCATCTTCCAGAACTGAAACAACCCTTATTTATCCACTTAACAAAATCGTAATTTAAAAAAAAATAAGAAAGTTCAAAAAATATGTCCTCCGAAAACTCGATGAGGAGAATGACCAAAAAAAGTCGGCCGGGTGTACATTAATTTATCCCGTAAGACAGCGGGTTCTGTTACAAGTTAGGGGTTAGAATGCACCGAAACGAAACAAAATGAAATTAACACAATTTTCATGTAGACTTTTAACAATAAAATGTATCGAAAATATCTTTCGGAAACGTTACTACAATCCGGTAAATAATGTTACAGTATCTCAAAATAGGTCACGTCCAGTTCTGTCTCAATTATTACGTTTTATCTACGAGTCATTCAAGTACAAATTTCGTATGCTGTTAATAAGTCGTCATTACGCAACACAAAAGAAAGACATGTGCGATTAATCACCCACATGTTGCAGCAGGAACTGAGCAGATCACAGCTGAAGGTCATACCATTGAACACATGTCGGGGTACCAGCAGGGATTCACGTAACTACGCAATCAGTGTGTTTACATGATCTTTGTAGCCCCTACATAACGTGAATAAAAATATAGAGATGGCATATATAAATAAATAAGGTTTTTTTTCCTTAAGTACTTCACCGATCTTGATTAAATTTAGTATAGGAGATTTGAAACGAACATTTTCAAGCGAAGTTCCTGAATGTATATACAAGAGTGTATAATTCACTATAATCCCAACGCGACATGAAATTGAATTTTAAATTCGTTTTGTTTCCAAAAAAAAAAAAAAGGCTTACTTTACCAATATAAAATGGCTGCATCGCATAAATTATAGGCTACATCTCATTAAAATCTGTTAACTTGTATTTGAAACTTATGTCAATTTGATACATATGGAAATATAACAAATCCAATTGAGTTCAGTTCTTATTGAGAAGATGACAGTCGTTCAGATACTCAAGAAATTCCCCATACTTTATGAAACCCGAAGTTTAATTATCGTGCTAAATTGATCACATTTTGAGCCATTTGAATCCACTCGACACCATCATGCCCTGCTGTTGATACTTTCTAATATTCAAGCACTCACTCACTCGCTCACTCATGGACCTGAGTACTTCTTAAGAAGCTGCCAGTTGTGCAGATACTCAAGAACTTCCCAGCATTTTAGTATGGAACCCGAAGTTTCATTGCCGTGTTCATAAGCGTTCTCCACTGGTCCCTATCCTGAGCCAGATCAACCTAATCCATACCATCCCATCCATTTTAATATTGTCCACCCACCTACGTCTTGGTCTTCTTGGTGGTCTCTTTCCAACTGGCTTTCCCACCGATATCCTATATGCATTTCTCTTCTCACCTATTCGTGCTACATGCCCTGTCCATCTCATCCTCCTTGACTTGAACATTCTAATTATACTTGAAGAAGCGTACAAATTAAGAAGTTCCTCATTATAAAGAACTTTCTAATATTACAATCTTATATACGTCTGGGTCTTCCATGTGCTCTTTTCCCTTCAAGTCTCTTTAAAAAATGTAGACATTCCTCGTCCCTTTCATTCGTGCTACATATTCTACCCATCTATCGATCTTGATTTGATTACCCTAAGTAACATTTAACCAGCAACAAACAAAATTTAATTTGTGGTAGTTCTGTTACCACAAGAATCGAATCTGCAATAAACGAACATTCGGACCGTTCGGGCACTACAGTTTCAAGACTTTTGTCCACTCGAGAGAGGAGAACAATATCAAATTAAATCTACTGGAGCTTTCAGACAGCTCGACAACGATGATATTGCATTAAGGCTTACGATCTGTAGCATTTATATGACAAAATGAGTGGAGATTTCAATGCTGGTTAAAGAAGTGTACATGAAAATAATATGTGTGAATCTAAACTGGCAGTGGGCATACAATAGGCGATATATTAGAGCTGTAAGCAACTTATGGCCCGAGGAGGACACATGTGGCGTGTCACCTAATTTCACTCGCGAAAAACTACAAATATATGTACACGTATCTACATACATTCAAATATGGAGACGTTCTTGGCAAAGAAATCTGTCAATATTCTCACTAACAACATGCCGCGAATAAAGTTTAAATAAAATAAGCCATAAGAATGTTCATTATTTTATTTTCCTTGAATTAATAGGCTACTAGTAATAAAATAAGTGAAAATGTAAATTGATCATAAATAATTGCCACCTACCAGTTCCAAGTTATTTTTAAGAACTGGCAGTTATTCATGTGCTAAAGAAATTAAACTAATATTATGAAATATGCAGGTTCATTACGGTTTCACAAAAGCTCTCCACTGGTCCCTATATTCAGTAAGTTCAGCTCAGTCCTCAGTCTTCGTGTCCCCTTTCCCTAAGATCAATTTTAATATAATTCTCTCATCTGCCTCGGGTCTTCCAAGTGGTTTTTCCTCATAGCATATTCAGACTAAAGTTCTGAATGTATGTCTCAGCTCCCCGTGCATGCTACACTTTCAACCATCTCCTCCTCCCTGATTTAAGTACCCTAATAATACACGTAACATATGACGAGCATATATTATGGCGCTCCTCTTTTTCTCATCATCTCCATCTCGTCTTACTTTGTTTTTCTTATGTCTATGTATTCTAAGCATTTTGTTTTGATGTACTCTCAGTCTATTTACACGCTTTTCTTTCTTCAACAGTACACGTTTATGAATGTTACACTTGCACTTTTCCTTGCAGTTCAAAAGGGGAGGGTCGCTCAACAATGTCCAACAACGAATTAAACGACATCCAGCAATAACACTTGTAACAGAACTGAAAGGTCTGGGAAGTGAAGGTTCGTATACGGGAGTGTCATTTATCGAAACCATAACTAACGTTAGAAAGTAATCTATAGATTAAATACAACAAAAACAACTGTTGAGAGTTCCACCTTCTGGCACATAATATCGTGTAGTCCGGTAGAAGCCAATCGAAGTTTCGGAGGACTGTGTGGCCTCCATCTTCAAGGTCGAAGAGTAAGCCAAGAAAGACGTCAGCTCCTTTCTTGCTTGGCTTACTCTTCGACCCTGAAGATGGAGTCGATATGTTCTTTCGAAAATTCGGTTGACTTTCACCGGACTACGCGGCATTATGCCCCAGAAGATAAAACCCTTCATACTCACCGCTGTGAGAACCTCAGACCTCACAAGTGAATGAAACTGTCGTATTACGATGACCGTATAATGTACCATATACCGAGCTTCATCAGACTCTTACGAATGACTTGAAAAATAGCTTTTTTTCAGTGAATTAAAGCAAAAGGAACTGACGAATGGAAATACTCGTACAAATATGAGTTCCATATATTGTACAAAATTCAATTGAAATCTGTCAAGAGACTCAAAAGATGGACATACCGTGTGCTTCAACAGAGTTATCATTACAATGTACCAAAAAGACTAAAAAAATTTCTCGACAAAAATATTGATGTATGTCAAACACACCGAATTTTTTCAGATTTAATTATATATTTTTGGCACTGTTAGTTTTGGAAGGAGAAACGGGCTTGAGATTGACAGGCGATTTTTGGAAACCGTTTTTCGAAAGGCGCATGAAACGAAGTTTCTCGTTATGTGACATGCTCCAGTCCTCACTGATACCATCTCTGTTCTGTAAGAAATAAAAAATATATACGTAATTTCCATTCAGTGAATTAATTATACAACTTTTTTCTCGAGCCACTATGCGAGGAGCATATAAGGGATACTTATGCATCCCGAAATGACTTCCTGTGGCAACGCGACAAGGCACTGAAATATGAGGCAGCCCCATCCTTATCAAATTTTATGTGCCTCTTTCTAAGACAGTGGTAATTATTTGTGCCATCTCCTATAATATTCAGTGGTTTGGAACTTCGCCATATAATTCATTTTTTGATTTGCTTTCTTTCTCAAGATAAACAATTCGTTCCCTAAGAAATTAACAAAAAGTTTTTTTTTGTGAAAGAGACATGATTTATTTTTCCGAAGATAGGAAGAGAAGTTGTAAACATTTTTTATTAGGCAAGTTCTCGGTTCGAATCTCGACAGGCACACCAGCTATTTTGACTGAGGTTTTTCATGGTTCTCCTCGGTTCCTCCAGGCAATTGCTGGGCTAGTACCTCGATTAGTCAACGATCACTTCGTTTCAGTCCTTTCCATCATTCATAACCCATCCTACCACCCGAGGCGATAGTCTCTGTGCAAAGAGCACTGTAAAATGAATGACAAACAAACTATAAGCAGATGTGGATACATACAGGGGGCGGCTCGGAGCTGTAAACTTCCGAGGGCGGGTATTCCTTCACCGTGACGGTCGTTAAGGAGTCTGGCTGTGCTTCCTGCTGCTTCTCCATGCTGACCTCCAGTTCCGGCACAACAGAAAGAGTTGCTAACCGCTCCACAACAGCGGCTGTTCTGACTGCGAGAGCTCAGCACAGCCTCACCACTATAACTTCAGATCGTGAAAGTAGGAGGGTAGAAAACTAGGTCCTGGACACTCATTGGTTCACATCGAGGTCACTGCAACAGTTCAGATCAGAACTCGTCGCATTTCAAGTGAAATGTGTGAGGAGGATTCGCTGATAAATGTGCGGGCGGAGGATTAAGTTGCGGTGAAAGCACACAGAAGGGTTGTCCAATATGACCATATTTATATCTCATCGTTCGTTGATTAGGTCTCCGGCCCCAAAAATATAATAAATATAATAATAATAATAATAATAATAATAATAATAATAATAATTCCATGGAGCTGAGTCCTTCTAGAAAACCCACCAGCCGTTCACTTACTAAAAATTTCCCAAACTTTTCTGGAACCCGAAGGTTCATTACCTTGTTCACAACAGTCCTCCACTGGTCCCTATCCTAAGCCAGATAAAGCCAGTCCAAACCACCCCATCCTATTTCTCTAAGATCCATTTTAACATTACCCTACCACCTACGTCCAGGTCTTCATAGCTGTCAATTTCTTTCAGATTTTCAAACTCAAACCGTGTGTGCACACTTTTCTCTCTCTCTTTCTCTCTCCCCCCTCCCACATGCCTTCTATATTCCCTGCCCATCTCATCCTCCTTTAATTGATCATTCTAATTATACCTGGCGAAGAGTACAGGTCATGAAGTTCCTCATTTGGCAGTTTTCTCAAACCTTCCGTCATTTCATCTCTCTTCGGTCCAAATATTCTCAACACCCTGTTCACAAACACCCTCAGTCTATGTTCCCCCCTTAATGTCAGAGACCAAGTTTCACACCCATACAAAACCACAGGCAAAATTAGAGTTATTTGTATTCCAATTTTTGCGATTTTAGACAGCAGAAGAAAAACAGACGGTTCCGAACTGAATGACAGCAAGCAGAGCCTGAATTTAATCTTCTGTTACTTTCCTCATGAACGACCTTTTGATTTGTTACTGTCATTCCCAAATATTTAAATTTTGCTACATTTTCAAAGGATATATTAGCAATCTTTGTGTTAGGATTTTGCCCTGCATTCTGGTGACGAGGCAGCAACATAGTTTTCTTGGCGTTTACTTCTAGACTAACCTCCTTAATAGGGCCGCGTCATAGCTCAAGCGGTTAGTCGCTGGCTTCCCACCGCGGCGGACCGGGTTCGATACCGGGTCTGGTCAAGTGGGATTTATGGTGGACAAAGTGGCGTTGGGGCAGGTTTTCTCCGAGTACTTCGGTTTCCCCTTCCAATCTTCATTCTACCAATTGCTCCACAGTCACCCTCACCTATCATCTGGGTCTGGTACAATAGGCCAGAAGTGGCCGCAGTACAAGGGACTTAGTCCCACCCTACTAGCAATAAAAAAAGACTCCTTACTAGCACCAATTAAAGTTTCTGCGTTTTTCTTTATCGTATCTATGTTATCTACCAGCAGATTCACATCATCAGCACTGCCCAGTCGCTGTTAGTTTTCCTGCACCTTCCTAATGACATGTTCTAAAGCAAAGTTGAAAAGCAATGGCGGTAAAGCATCTCCTTGTAATGGACCAATTTAAATAGAAAACTTATCAGACAAATTTTCACCTATACAGGCTTTATTATACTCGTACGTTTCATTTAAGCACATTTTAATCAGCCTGTCTAGTCTCATGAGTACCCCAAACTTTATCAGAATATTGTACAATACTCCCCTCCTAACTGAATCATAGGCTTTCTTGAAGCCTATGAATAGCCGACGTATTGTCTCATTGAACTCCCATTTTTTCTCCAATATGTAATATTGAATTGGCGAATGATGTAGCACGATGGATTGGGAGAGATTTAGAAGCATGCGGTCGTGACCTGTTTCAAGCCACTACTCCAGTATTTCCTTAACCGGTCATAGGAAGCCAAAAACAAGGCATTCGGCCAGCATAGCCAGTCTCCGTCTTGAGAGTCGAATTCGAGACTTTCCAAATAAGAGGCAGAAGGTTTATTACTACACTGCAGCGTTTGGAAAAATAGCCATCGAAACAAACCACAAAACTGTATGTCTTTATTTCATCAATCCATTCGAAGTTCAGTGCAAATACACAAAGAAAAATGTTTAAATATGTACAAAATATTGCAGAATCTTTATGCGTTATGAAGTCAAGTCTCATTGTTCTGGTTATCCTATGCCTCTTTTAGCAGAATACATTTTTTGAAACGTTAATAACACAATTCAGTTTCTTTCTATCGTTGAAAAGCACACACTGATAGTGCCTGAGAACAAACTGTCCACAATATTTGGACTAAAAAGGAGAAAGTAACAGAAGGACGGAGAAATTATGAATACATAATGACGACCTGCATAATCGTTGCTTCCCAGTTAATATTATTAGGAAGATTTAACCATAAAGATTAAACGCAGGATTTCTAGTGCGCATGGGAAGATAAGAGAAACGCACACATTTAATCGGAACATCTCAAGGGAAAAGAACACTTCATAGATCAAGTAGGCGAAAGAATAACACTAAAATGGGTATTAGAGAAACAGGGTATGGGCTGACTCAGCATAAGTTCAATGACAGGTTTTCATATAAACCGTAATGCACATTTGGTTTTCATAAAAGCGAAGAATTTCTTGACCAGTTACGGATGGTTCCTTAGGGCTCAAATTTAAAATTTGGAACAGGGAAACTTAGTCAGTATAGTGAGCAGGCTTCGGGCTGGGCAACCGGCGAATCAAGGTTCGATTCTTGGCACAAGCAGAGATTTTCTCATCTCTACAGCGTCCAGACTGGCTCTTGAATCCACCGAGCCTTCTATCCAAAGAGTATACGGGGCTCCTTCCCCACGGAGTTATACCTCCACATCCCTATACTTATTTATGGCTCGGTATTTAATTGAGCAGAGGGACTACTTTATCTTTTATAATTTAAGGCGCATCCTCGAGAAGAAGTTAATTCAACGCTCCGAAAAAAAAACGAGTTCCACGAACACCCCTCCCCCAAAGAGCTTGCCTCCTTAATACAACTGAAAATGTTAAAGCAGGACTAAACAGAAGAGCTTCTTCATCTGAATAAGAATCCTCGACCTGGTTTCCATGACAACCAACTCTCTCACACTGCAGAATCCTAGTATGCAATTTCCATTCAGATTGCTTTGGAGAATAACTGTTCTTAAGATGGTTGCTGTAACATTGAGACGCAGAGCAGTATATGATGGGCAGATTCACATTTCATGCTTTTTATTGTCACGGAAATTAAATGTAGATGCGTGTCTTCGCGGCATAGGTAAAAAGGTAACGTTGTCCCTGTGCTTAATTATTTAAGCACTATACCATTAAGACATATGGGGGAGTGAATGTATAGCTCCATGATTCTTGACCTCAGTACTACATGGAGGCGAGTGGTCAGATTCACCTGCCGCTTTATCCCTAGGGAACTCGCCCCTGGTACCCGTTGGATAAGAGAGTACTGGACGCTGTGGAGTAGAGAAAAATCTTGCCATGCCAGAAGTCGAACGCGGGTTTCATGGCATAGTGTTTAAGAAATTAAGCACAGGGACAAATTTACCTTTAACCTACGTACAACAGAATTAAAATATGCACAGAATTTTAGTTAGGAAACTGTAATTGAAATATACAGACTTCCCAGATTAATTCCTACAGCTCATGCACCTGTACAAAGCTATAGTTGACACCACTTAACAACAGCGGAGGTGCAACGCTACACAGGGTCACAAAACGTACTGTTGCTAAGGCATTCCACTAAACATACTCGTATGTGCAGAATATCTAAAATTTACCTTACGTTTCTCAGTGGGATTTAATCCGTTCTGTACGATCATTCACTTTTGAGAAATTTCATGAAGAACTAGATTAAGGGTTATATTGGAGTGATAGGAACTTAAATTTTCTCAACAGTTTTCAGTATAGATCCTTAATAACAAATTAAATCTAAATCCGCTAAGTGATTTGGGTGCATCGCAAGTCCTGTTTTACACTGATATTCTAACTGAATTATGACTTCGTCACGTGGAACTCCGTTTTATGACGCCAAGTGATTATAAATGGGCCATACTAAGCAAAGTAGGCCTACCGTGTTCCATTGGAAGTACAAAATTACTAAAAGTTAACTTTAGGGAAGAGACGCACAATAGATCGTGGACGATTGATCGCCCACTTCTTCAGTCCAATCTAAGTTATTTGGGAAATGGCACACGCAGATAACAATCATATCATTTGTTCACTTTACCCACCAAGAGCAAGGAACGGGGAAAAAACTCCCAGACAGAGGACGGAGACTGAACCAATCGACTCAAGGATGATTTATATTTATGTAGAGTGGTATTCTGCAGTAGGGGCTGTCCCTTCACTCTCACTACATTACGTTGACTTATTTTTACTCTGAATATTCCCAAGTTGATGACCTACACAATCCCATCTGTCTATGACACACAATGGAAACTTTCATTGCTACCTCTAATGTATAATAACCTACACTTTCATAAAACGCCAAGAAAGAAGTAGAATTATTATAACTACGGCAAAGTTGATTATACACACTCAATACGGACATCCAAGAGAACATAATTAATAAACAAATAAAGGTCTACAAGAAAGGAGCTAATATTCAGATCTGACAAGGAGAGACCATACTTTTGTCTTACCACCCCAAGAAATAAAACTGACAAAGTGAAGTAAAAATCAAGTGTCATTGTTCCAACTCCCACTACTTCCTTATTTTAGTACGATTTCTTTCCTTGGTTTTTATTAGTATGCTGGCTTTGAAATTGACGTAAAAGTGGGTAAACGCCGTCTACTTGTCCTCGGGCCGTTTCTTCTAAAGAGCCTTAAAACATACTATCATGCCCAATAAGTGTGCAATACACGAATTCCCGAACATGCATTGTAATAAGTTCCTCCTTATAACACGTGTTGGTCAATACCTCGGGCTTTTCATTGATCTGGAGCGTCTAGCTGGAACTGAAGTGGAACGCCTATCCTCTGAAGTCACTTCTCTC